AAGCCTGTTTTTGCTGGATGAACGTCAAATCCAGTAATGGCTTTGTGCCATATCTCAGACATGGATTGGTTCTCATCCTGAAGGTCTGTCTCTGCCCCTTCCTCTGGAATAAACTGTAGTCCATTGACATTCTTTTCCCAGAAAGGCTCTTGAAACTGCAAGTGGATTTTGTTCATTGTGCTGAACCCTAACCTGTGTATTGCTCTCAGCTTCCCTGGTGGTAGAGGTGGTTCAAACATGGTAGATGACGCAGCCTTGAGAGAGCCTAGCGAGCTTGTGATAATGACATGTGCAGCTTGAAACTGTGCCCCATTGGCTGTTGTCACGGTAACAGGTTCAGTGCTGCCATCTGTTAACTGTACTTTAACTACAGGTGTGCCGAGCTTAATGGTCCCATCAGGTATATCATTCAAGATCACTTGTAATATTGAGCTGCAACATAAAATAATCGATATATCAATATTGATATATCAATTGTAATATATCAACATTGATCTATTGATATGATATATCAATGGATCATATTGGAGGCCTAATATCTACTAACCAACCAACACCAAGTGCACCTTTGTTGTCCAATTACCTAAAGCCGTTGGCCAGCTCTACATATATATCGCCAGGGCACGTGTGGTACTGGTTCCAGCCAGCTATGTCCATCATATTTTGGCTCTCGCCAGCATCTATCATCTCCACTAGGCGTAGCGAGCGGTACACGGCCAAGTACCTTGCCTTGTCTATCTCACTCCAATCTAGCTCGTCTGCAACATACATGTGAGCCAATAGCAGTTAGTTTAGAGGCCTACAGTTATGTACAGTATGTAATTGTTGATAGGTTTATATAACGCACCACAGTTCGATGTTTAGCTCATCTGACAAAAGTCAGACACAGCTTGTAAAATGCCATGAGCATCCGTCCGTCTGTCCGTCCGTCAATAATATGGACACAAGTCTAAACGGTTTGACATATGGTTTTAAAACTTGGGACGTTGGGATGGGCAATGTATGGCTAATGACATCAGTAGGTCGAGTCTGTGGTCAAGTGTCAAAGGTAATGAGGCGTGAAGGGAGGAGGAATATTCTCCCCTTAACATATATAGCCTAAGTCAATAGGACCAACACTGAGGAAATGCAGTTACCGCATAAATAAATGTAAACGACTTGACATATATGCCTTTGATATTTGGAATACAGAGTCAGAGGGACAGAAGCCATCCATACTGACAAAATTGGAGGTCAAAGGGAAAAGGACAGATTTCCAACATTTTTGGATTACCTGGTCTGAATGGCCGAATGGAAACTTTCTGCATTAGTAACCTACCGTTTTTATTAGTTCATTGAAAGACCGTTAAATGTACATTCCATAAATTTGCCAGACCCTTAAGAGGTGTGTTGAGCAAAGATTTTATTACAGTTAACAAAGGACTGAAATGCTTTTGTCTCTGGCACCTATATAACTGTATGGGTGTGAAAGGCTACGATTTCATGCATTCTGTACCACAGATGCAGTACTGTAGTTTCATACATCAGATAACACCTATCTAGTAACTATTATGTAATGTTTTCTGTTTTGCAATCAGTAACATCTTCTTATTCATAATAGCTGCGTTTCCATGACGATAAAATAATTAACGTTTATATATAAAACATATTGCACATACTAAAAACATTTTTACTACATCACCACATGTAGTAATGTAACAAGTATGTAAGCGAGTGCGTTGTGTTATGCGATTGCTAATTGGTCAAGGAAATGAGGATATGTTCAATCAAAGATTGAAAACAATAAGATGGAATTATCGGCGGACTGACACAAGCTGAAGTATATAGGATATCATAATCTACAGGAGTTCTCCTGACAACCCCTCTCTCTCTATCGCTATCCATCTACCCACCTCTCTCTCCCTCTCCCTGTGTCTCTCCCCCTCTCTATTCAATCTCACATGAGAACTGTTGCTCTGCAACACTAGTACGGCTGCGACGTGGAGTTCAGGAAAGGCACATAGCTATTGCATTTCGGAAATGCTAAACGAATCAACTTTGGTTGTCCAACACCACCTCTTCTTGCTCCACCACTGACAGAGACAGTCAGATGTCAGACTGTTGCTCTGTGGCACTTGTTCTAGACTATAGTGTGTTATGCAAGCTAGCTGTGTTGTAATGTTACGATTGAGGTCACTCCTTCCTTTCCCACATAATATAGCTGTGCTGCCAAGTTGTATAGGTATACTTATCAGGTTCTCTTGCAGATTTTGGTTTTATCTTAACATTAAGTTCATAAAACTGGGTCAATCTAACGTCATGTTTCTAACTTAGGGTCACTTCACATCAGCTTTATTAAAGTTCTGGGTCAGTTTCACAATATGCTTGTAGTCCTAGTCAACCTTGGGATCTAGTCTGAACTCCTATATTCTGATGCTTGTCATAGGGCTCCAAAACAGGCAAGCCGAATTTCCCAATTATCTTAAAAAAAGTTACACTATTCTGCCCCCCCCCCCACATAGTATGTCACTGAATCCTGTGTTTACCTATTTTTGCCACAAAGTGTCTGTGAGTATAGTCGCCAACAGAGGTAAAGTCGTGGTTATCCGTGGTTAGATTTTTCATATTCCTCATGATATCATCCAGAATTTGTAGTGCACCATGGACCACCTCCTCAGGCATTTGTTCACCCTGGGCTGTCAGTAAAATGTCATTTTCCTCCTCACGCCAAAGGTGGCGTGACATTTCAGGTAGAATGGTATCCTGGCAGTCTGGCTGCCTTAGAAGGCCGTGTTTTTTTGCTATGGTGTACACAGGATTGCCATCTTCACCGTGTATCCACTGTGCACCTGGATTAAAATGAACGTGTACTGATAAAACTTACGGTATTACATATAATATAACTTTTGGTACAGAAACTGTTTTTTAGCTCTTAAATATTTGGGACAGTTACATGATTACAACACTGCAAGACTCAACTGAGATGCAAGGTCAGTCATTACTAAATCAACTGAACAGTGAGTTTCATAAACTAAAAATAACCACAGTTATTGATGAACTAGAACCAGGTGTTAGGTAGGCTTAAATCTATGAGAAGAGAGAAAACTCACCATAGTCAATGAAGCCGTTTCCGTAAGGAAAGCTGCAAATTCTCCCCCCAATCCTGTCTCCGGCCTCAAGAATGATTATGTCAGATACTCCAGCTTTCAGAAGTCTCTGTGCAGCTCCTAAGCCTGCTATGCCTGCTCCAACAATGACAGTCCTCTTGGTCATTGCCATGGCTAGAACTAAGATAATCACAGATCTGTAAAATAAAAATATGTCATCATATTTATTTGTATTTCTAATTTTATCATGAACAAGTGCATAATGAACAAACATGTAAATGGCATTATGGTAGTAACTGCAGCACAGTGGCATAATAAATATCTGCAAGTTCTGCTAGCTGATAGCAATGTTAAGTTGCAAGTTGAAGTACAGTGGTCCATGCTTAATTGGGCCTTGATAAACGGGCGAATCAATTAAATGGCCACTTTGAAAACCAATCCTTATGCACGTTGTTATGCATTCACTGCTTAGCCAGGACCACCGCTTAACCGAATTTATTTTCATGGTTCCGGAATTAGCCCGATAAAGCAGGGATCATTGAAAGTTGGTACCTGCATTATATATACAATAAGGTTGTTTATAATAACAAGTTACATTGATTAGTTAAATGTCTAGACTTCTACGTTAGTCAGTAATGAGATATTTTGATCATAAACCAACCCATATTTTATCTTTTGGAATATTATTATTAATTGCCCACTTTAGCAGGAAACTGTTTGTTGGGGGTCTTGTTTGTAGGTGCACTGGTTGTTGTTTTACCTAGTGGGGGTTGTACGCTATATGGTACATTTAAATTTGCATATATATAACTGCAAGTTCAGGAACGCCCTCAAAACTGAATCTCACATGATTAAACCGGATGATCTTTAAGGGCGCGTTTGTTTGGAACGAATCCGTCTGATCAGGATCACTTGATCCAGATCGCCCCAAACAAACGCAAACTCACTTTCAACGGTTTGCGTTTTGCTGTGACCTATCACAGGATGGTTCATAACAAAGAACAAGCTGTGATCGGCTGAGGCACGGGCCGTATTGGATCCCCTTCGAATCCCCCTCGCTAGCAGGGTCGGGTTCGGTGGATCGCGATCCGTGGATCCGACCAAACAAACAGTCAGATCCACGGATCCAGTGGATCGAGATCCGTGGATGCGACCAAACAAACACGCCCTAAGTCTCAACACCATCTGAGACATGTAAGATGTGCCTGAAATGAGCCCCCTATAAATTGAACTTCACAGAAAACCGAGCTAAATGGCCCGTCTTAAGGGTGGTCGGTAGTACTATTGGCATTGCCATATTGGGACTGTGTACATATATATAATGCGGCATGTACCAAATTGATCTTATTGAGCAATTGGCAGGCGCCTTCTTCTATCCTTTGTGTGGTTAAGCAGCAAGGAGCATGATATATGGCTCTTTATACCTTTCACTGCACTACCAATTTGATTTTCAAAATCTTTGATAATTGATTCAATTGACAATTTCAATGATTGTAAATTGTAATTTGTATCAGTTACCTGGGTTACAGGTCATCAGTCCGAAGGGTCACTGGTCCGAAGGGAAAACTAAACATTTTCACTGATATAATTTAGCAAAAAAACGAAGTACAATAAAACCTCATTATATCGCCACCATCGGGACTTGGGAAATATTGGCGTTATAACGAATTTGGGGTTATAACGAGGTATAGAAATTGCAGTCTAATATCACCACTAAATAGCCCCCAGTTGCTAGAAAACCAATAAAAATAGATTATGATTATAAACAGAGTTTTAATGACAAATAAAAACCATATTAATAAAATTCCTTTGTTTTATAACTCAATTACTATTAAAATAAAAATATAGTTTTATGTTTGCTTTAGTGTTTTCGTTAGTCCGGAGTTCAGCACATGTACACGTACATTTAAGTTTGCGTACACTATTCTGTTTAGAACATTCCGAAATGAGTGAATCCATGCGAGATGGTAGGTGGGACACAGCAGAAATGTCACATTCAGTAGAATATCCATTCGACTCAAAATATTGCAATACAGGCTGAATTGACCTCC